GGGGGTGGTTCTTGTCTATATATTTTATATTAATAACCAGAGGTGAATTGAGGATGTTCAGATAGCGTTTGCACATTTATATGCGAGAAATATCCACTATTTTGAAAAATAATTATTGGTTTCTTCTACAATTAGCCAATATCATGTGACTAAGACATCAACAAAAATATACGTGCATAACATTCTGCCGAGCAAATATAATGGAATTTTGATACGTAAATTATGCATTGAATGTATGTAATTAAAGCTTGGAGACCATTATTTAAAGGGCGGCAGTCGTCACGCCGCGTCCTGTTCGATATGGAACTCATAGCGACGTATATAACGCGTGTAAAATACCTTGTTTATTTACATGAAATTCGTCACGGTACACGCGCTGCGCGACGACCACCGCGCTTTAAAGCAGGGGAGTCATTCCCGCGCGTGCGCAGGGTACGACCCTCCCGCTTTAACCAAGTATGTTTAGTATGTATAATATGCTCGCTCTTACCAGTTACCGTTTCCTCTGCCACGGATGCAGTGTAGCCGGATGGGCTGAATACGGGCAGATCATTAATACCATTGACAACGATATTCAAATCAGCTGTGTCTGTGTTTCCACCTTTATCGGTAGCAGTCAGCGTTAGAGTGTAACTCAAGATGGCGGAGCCACCATCAGCTTCTAACGTCCTAGCTGTCGTCACCAGACCAGTTAAGTAATCACAGTTGAAATGGTCTGCATTGGTTCCTACAAAAACGTAGATAGAATTAGTATATTGCCGTGAAGTTGTTAACTCCAATGGGTACATGAATTTTACTAGCCAATTTTGAAAGTAAGTTTGACTGAATGTGCAATAACAAATTCCTCTCCTACTTCGTATGCTCTCTTGTCCCCATCGTCATTTCTTACCTGATATTGTGTAATAAAGCGCGTCATCATCCCTGGTAACACTAACATCTGCATCAGTACAACCAACAATTGGATCATCAGTCCACGTGACAACAGTACCTGCAGGCTGGTCTTCATCCACGTTACCATCATAAGCTGTTGAATCAAACACCGGTGGCTCGTCGTACTCTTCTTGCACGATGACTGTCAATATGGCTGTTGGAGTACTCGTTGTACCAGCACAACTGTAATTATGCAAATAACGGTTGGTGATTCTAATACATATGTTTATATAGAATCATGGTATCTGTGTCATGAATTTGTTTTCGCGTATCTCTTGACCGACTTAATTAGCTGATTATTAGCTGAATTGCTGTGTTATGTCTGTCATCGTGTAGGCCTAATTGAAGTTTTGGACGGAACTTGGCTCAGTGATTTGGAACTAATTACCAGATAACCGTCGAGATTCTGACAGTTGGTATTCCATAGTTATTAATGTAGTGAACGATTAATCAAAAGATATGACGTATTCAGTACTTAGTGTGATTGGCTTTATGATTGAAGGTTACGCCCTAGAGTCTTTTTACTGCTTTGTAATTGGATAGAGTTTTGAAAATGAATAAAGAGAGTTTGAGTTGGTCTTGGGGAGCACAGCACGATAGACGCGGTGGAGAGTTGAGTCGAGTCGAGAGTCCAGTCCAGGGGCGAGCCTTGAGGCAGTCCAGTCTTGGGCTAGTCTTGGGTCAGCCTTGCGAGAGTCTTGGGGACTTTTCCCCAGGGCGCCGTGTCTTATAGAGTGCTCGATTGACCGACTAAGACGAGAGTTGAACCGTATTTCGTTGTGTGTGTCTTATTTGACTGTAAGGTTAAAGTGACTTTCCCGATCCCGTACCTCAAGGGGACGAGATAGAGAGACGAGACGAGATTCCCCCCTGACACGTGTGGAGAACCCTGTGGAGAAGAATTTTTCCCTGATATCTGCATGGCGTATCTCACAACTTCAAAAAAATGATGACGTATTGGATGCCGAATATGACATCATGGATGCCGAATATGGCATCATGGATACCGAATATAACATCACGGATGCTAATGGAGCCTGCTCATGAATGCTAATACCCAAAATGTATTCATTTTACAATAAATTGCACTCGTGGGTAATATATTGACTTAAAAATAGTTGTGCGTCACCAGCCTAATTTTCGAGTTAATTATGGTTGAATTTTATTGGATAATGGCCATTTTGACAGTATAATAACACTTTTACCGTAGGTTCCTATGGCAGAGATGTTATACCATATCTCAAATTGTAGGTTGTGGCATAGGCTGAAAAAATTAATCTATTGCGAATAATGAGGTACTTTTTGTTGTCCTGGATTATTTAAACAATCTGGGTTTCAACAAATTTCAAACATATACTTGTTTAATGTTATGTTCTATGGAATTGTTGTTTTTGGAAAATATTTGGTCAATATGCATTGCATGTGAAACTGTAACAGTAATCACACTCAATGTGGCAAGATGGCAAGATACTGGAATATGTTTATATGTGTGGAGGCAAATAGATTATGTAAACTAATATTTTCGTGGGATAATGCAATTTGTGTAGATAATTTTAATAGTTTTAAAAACTTTTAATATGTATGATTCTTTTCGTGTCAGGTAATATATGTATATGCAAATGGAGGTACATGTAACCTTCAAAAGTAATCCCGGATTGAAATTAATAATAGTGTAGAATTGCTCAAAAGTCTTCAGTTCAGGTTTGGTGTTTGCGCCTCTTCGCATTGAAAGTGGTAGATACCGTGGTGAAACAATTCAGGTTTGGTGTTTGCGCCTCTTCGCATTGAAAGTAGTAGATATCGCGGTGAAGCAATTCACAACTTTGAAAATATTTTATTTTGTAATCAAGACCAAGTGGAATATAAAGTTTTTATTATACTGTTCATATGATTTATATAAATATTTATATATAAAGGTTTTTCTCGTGTAACTGAGGTTGAAAAGTGTATTGTCCTAATGACAAATATTAATAGAAACACCGCAAAGTTCATATCAAAAGTATATTTGAAAAGGTAAAAACGTTTGTACAACATTCAGTGAAGGTATGTATGTATGTTATGCCAATGCTTTATTGTTTTATATCAGGTAACAGCACCTCTATAATATTTTATTGTAAAAAGTGACTATTGGGTTTATTAATAATTAACTATAATGCATTGCCCATGATCCTTTTTTTATATGAAAACTTACCTTATAGTGAGTTCAAATGATCGTTTAGCTGGGTCTGCATCGAAATCCAGCCCAACCGGTGCAAATATATTAGGCCCTGTATTAGTAAATGTAGGTGAGCCAGGATCCTGTGAATCAATATCGTACGTTACAGGGTCGCCGTCTTCGTCGCTACAGTCAACTGTTGCGATTGTTGTTGTGGTGAGAATATTTTCCGGTATAGATATGGTAGCTGGCAGGTTGATGAACACGGGTTCGTCTTCCATGTCAACAATGTCAACTTGAATAGAATATTGAACGTCTCCGGCATCAGTGTGACATATTATGTATACTTGCTGAGTTGGGCCATGCTCTTCGTAGTTTAACACGGCATTGCTTGTCACCTGTGAAGTATGTGGGCAATACTGCGGTGTAAAATGACTAATTTTCACTGGGTTTAAATTTCACTAATTTAGCATTTCAGGAACATTCAGTGGGTTTTAAATTCACGCTTTTATCATTTTGATAATATGTTCTATGCTAAATTGTACATATTCACTGGGTTTTAATTTAGCGCATTTTCCAGTCAGCGAAATAAGCAAAACCCAGTGAATAATTAACCCTTTTACAGTAGTGAAATAGTATTATACAGGTGTTTGTATAGTATTGCATTTTAATTGTATAAACAATGGCATGAATTACGTATGCGATGCTAACATACAATATGGCTGTGTCCAACTCATAACACACTGTAAAACATGTCTTTTTTGCGAGCATGTCCTTTTAGCGAATTTAGCGAGAGAACTAATTCGCTAATTTAAGATGTCGCTATCACTTCAATATAAATTCAAAATGGCGGTCAAACTTTTTCTCCACACACACTTTGCAAACAACACAGAAAACGTAATAATCTGGAGCGCTTCCTTATTATACTTGACAGTTTTTTATGGAGGTTATAACTGCACATTTGTTTTGGCAGGCGAAAGACAAGTATTGTGAAAACAGGAAATCAACAAAGACAAGAGAGATTCACTAAATCAACATTTCGCTATTACGTCATTTTACCAGAATTCGCTAAAATTGCAATCATGTCGCTTTTTCAACATGTTTTTTCAGTATATGGTCATATACTTTATTTGAAGCAATCGTAACGAATAACGTGTTACTCATCAGGTAGTACACATGTTGTTTTTCTGTAAGGTAT